ATAACATGAGTCTGAGGGGCCAGGGGCGGAATGTTATGGTTTATATTTAGATGTCTCCCCAGAACCTGATAGACTCAAAGGTGGGGCTTTTGAAAGGTGACTGTATTATAGGGGCTTATTGCTGATTTGCTGTTAGAAGGTGGGAAGAGGTGGTCCACTGGGGCTGTGGCCTGGTTTATCCGCCTCCCCAGCTTTTCCCTTCACTTGCTCTGCTTCCTGTCTACCATCCCATGAGCAGCTCTCTACCATGCCCCTCTGCCATGCTGCCCTGCATAAGTGCCAGCCAACCAAGCAAGTCCTGAGACTGCTGAAACATGAACCAAACTAAACTTCTCTTTTAAATTACAGGTGTCAGGTATTGTGTCTCAACCACAAGAATATATCTAAGACACCCTCAAGACAGGAGTGATTGTTCCTTCTTCTGAATTCCCATACATTTTATTTATACATCTTTATTCCTATATCATTGATTAGAAGATAGTAGTATCTTATACATCTTTGCATATTCCACAACTAATATTAGGTACTCAATGTTGTTGACTAAAAGAATTGTATGTGCAGTATGTGTCCATTATAATAAGCTTAAGCTCAGTGGTGGTAGGAGCTATGTTTTTTGTTTTGGTTTGTTGTTGTTTGCAGTATTGGGGGTTGAGCCCAGGGTCTTTGTGCTTAGCTGTATCTCCAGCTTTTTTAAAATTTTTTTTATTTTGAGATGGTCTTGATAAGTTCCCTAGGTTAGGCTCAAACTTGTGATCCTCCGCCTCAGCTTCCAGAGTACTTAGGATCACAATGCCCAGCAACTATTTCATTTTCATTCTGTATCCCTAGCACCTAGGAAGCCTCTAATAAACATTTAAGTGAAATATATTATAGTTACCATGATATAAATTTCCTCATGGTATAATAGAGAATATGCATATACTTCATTGTATTTTTTAAAAATCTTCATTATATATATTTCTTTATATTAACAAATACGCTAGCCAGAAGTAGTAGTAATCCCAGCACTCAGGAGATTGAGTCAGGAGGATCACAAGTTTGAGGACAGCTGCATAACAAGACCCTGTCTCAAAGAAAAAAAAAAAAAACCCGATGATAAAAGTTGTACATTAATAGTCTTGCTTTACAAAACAGAAATTGTGACTTAAAGAAATTAAGTCCAGCACACCAGAGACTGAGGCAGGAAGATCACTGTGCCAAGCTGAGTTACATAGCAAGACACTGTCTCAAAAAAAAAAATGAGTTATATATTTATAGTCACATAGCCAATGAGTAACAGAACTGAATCTAAAATTCAAGTCTTTTTTTGTCTTTTTTTTGTGGGTGGTGTGTGAGACCAGTTCTCACTGTGTACTTCATGTGGACCTCAAACTCATGGTGATCCTCCTACCTCAGCCTCCCCAGAGCACAGACCACAAGTGTGCACCTAAAATTTAAGTCTTTAAGTGGAAAGTTTACCCAGGCATGGTGGCACATGCCTGTGTTCAGTCTTACTCTGAAGACTGAGGCAGGAGGATCCCAACAAGTTTGAGGCCAATTTGGGCTACATTGTGAGTTTAAGTCCAGCCTGAATTACATGGCAAGATTCTGTCTCAAAAAAAAAAAAA